GCTGCGAACAATTTAAAGTCAGTGGGTCTAGCTGAAGGATCAGTCTTGGGCAGCAAGGAGATTTCTGCTCCTGTGTCAACAAGAAAAAGAAAACCAGACGAGATGTCGCGGATATGGAAGCGTCTTGCTCCAGAAGAAACCTCGCTCGCAGCTTCCACGCGAGGAGGAGAACCTAGTTTTCCTGTGCCTTAGGCCAAGAGCAGTTGCCCTTGCAGCGAAAGGCCCTAGCGCCATACTTGCGATGGATGTAGCAAAGACCATCAGAATTGGGGCCGGGGTTGGACTCAGACTTAGTAGCCTTGTCATCATTGCGGCGAGAGTGGTCGTTACGATTACGCGACTTTGAGCGGCCGCGGGAGGGGCCGATCCAATTTTTACCCATAAGGAGATCGACACTTTTTTTTAAGGTATCAACATTGTTTGATAATTTTTCAAAAAGCTGAAAGGATCGATCATCCATTGACGAAATCGAAGGGTTTGCTACCAGGCTAATGGGTCGGGTCGTGGCTTGGGCATGAGTTTTGACAGCGGAGATATTCGTGTGTTCGGAGGCGAGGGAGTCACAGTACCTGTCTGCTGCCTCTGCTAAAGCTGTCAGGGATGTGATATTATGGATCAAAAGGGCTGCGCGACAACCGGGAGAAAGTTGCTCCAAGAACACGATCCTGAGGACCTCCTCCCCACAACATGTCTCCAAGGCACGCATTCTGCTCAAAATCATGGACGGTTTGCCTTCTAGCGAAACCTGGTTGCGCAAAAGCTGACGGAGACGCTGTTCCGACGAGCCCCCAAAAGTAGAAATTATGCGTTTTTTAATTTGCTCGTAAAGATCTGGAGGCCTCGGATGCAAATTTAATAAATCAAGAATGGACATCATAGAATCCGCATCTAATTTTTCGGCAATGTAATCCGCTTACTGGTTGCCTTGATTATTTATAATAGATAAAATAATAATGCAATCGCAAATCTCCACACGTTCTAGGGTGCTTGGATTATTCTATTTATTATAAATAATCGAAGCGACCAGCAAGCGCCCCGGGTTGTGTGGGGATTGGCGCTTGCGTTATTATATTTGTTTTACTAATAACTAAAGCGACCAATAAGCGCTCCGGGTCATGTGAGGATAGGCGCTTGCGTTATTATTTTATTAATCATAAATAATTAAAGCGACCAGTATGTTCCTCGGGTTGTGTGGGGAAAGGCGCTTGCGAGCACCATCTGCAGTCGGTATGCAATAGTCAGCGGCCAGGTCATAACATTTGCATGTACTTTTCATTAGCTTCAGACCATAGACATATAAAAAATATAGACTGCTCGTTCTTATGTACGGCTCTGAAGCACAAATAGAAGGAGACACACAAAATCGAACATGGGTATCTGTCTCCCTCGCACATTGCCATAGGTGGGAATATGCGAGAGAGACAGATACCCACGTTCGATGTTGTGTCTTCTTTTACTTGTGCTTTAGCGCCGTACATAAGAACAAGCAGTCTTTATTTCTTTTATGTCTATGCTTAAGACCAATCTCGGAGCCAGAGGCAGCCAGATACTTTTAGCTATTAAAATGTGGTGACTATTCATTTATTACTAATAAATATGGATAGCAAAAATGCAACTGCTTGGGAACCTTGTAATTGGGAGATTCAACTGAACAATATTAGAAAAATGCGCTCAAATTTTACAGCTCCTGTAGATAAAATGGGATGTCATAAATGTGCAGATAAATCTGTGAGTGACTCCATTTTTCGTTATCAAACTTTAATAGCTCTGATGCTTAGTAGTCAAACTAAAGATGAGATTACTTTTTCTGCTATGCAACGTCTAAAAAACATTGATTTTTCACCCAGAACCATCGTCTCCATGCCTGACAATGATTTGGGGCAACTTATTTATCCAGTTGGATTTTGGAAGGTTGTAACAACAAATTGCTATCAAAATAACAATTTTTTTAATGATACAATGATGCTATTGCCATTTCGCTGATTTAATGTTTAAGAGTGCAGCATACCGTGTAATTATTTGTGTGTGTAATGCTTGTGAATAAGGAAAATATTTGGATTTAATTAAAATAAAATTCACTTTCTCTGCGTTTCTACTGCCATCCTCTATTCAGGAAAAAACATGATATTAAACAAGAAGTTTTCCCAAAAAATAATACAAGTTTTTTGAAAGGACAAAAATTTTAACTGCCATTCATATTATCTGTGGCACTGTAATTTACTCCACTCTAACATTTTGACTCGTTTTTTTGTTTTCACCTATTTCTGTCAACACAAAGAAAAAATTTACTTAAGTTCTTTCTTTGTTACAATTAAGCTACAGTGCTTATTTAAGAATAAGTTTTTTACCACCCTCTGCCAAACAGGCATAAGTATTTTCCAGCTTTCTACTTGGCGGACAAACATTCCGTCTTGCGGTGCAGGATTGGTACAAGATTGTATACACTTGCAACCCATGGAATGAAACAAAGCCTCAGATCATGTGTAACCCTTGGCTTTGCCTCCAGTATTAAGTGTCTGTCACCTGAGACAGAGAATATAGAGTACATCTAAAGAGTTATATTCTATATTCTCTGCCTGACACTTTGTTCTTTTTTCTTGATAGATGAGTAAAATACTACTCCACTATTTATCATACAGATATTCAAACATAGAGTAACCAAGATAGTCTAGCCCCATGATTAGCTTCAGCTCAAGTATTCACTGGCTCTAACATGTCTAAGCCAATCAGTGATCAGCACGAAAGCGACAGAGGCCTAGTAGCTTTTTTGAGGCGAGTTCTTTAAAGTTTTTTTTAAGTGTTTTTTTAAAGACCTGTCTTAAGACGTACTTTAAGACCGATTTTAAGATATATATTAAGTATGGTTACGATTTTTTGCTCCAATTATAATAGGAACAGTTGTGCACACAAACCAACATTGCATTTTGCTTGGTAATAACTTGGTACTTAGTTTTTTCCTCTCTACAGCCTCAAAAAATATGAGTTTAAGTAATTTAATGGTCGATTATCAATTAAATATAAATTGATACTAGCAATACAATTGCGCAACATTGAATTTTTGACAAAATAAGTTGTATACAACAAAATTCGAGAACGGCAAAGTAAAAAATGGAAAACATTTTTAAAATCTCACTGCCCTGGTATTAACCTGTTAATATATTTATGCATATTAAGTAAGATAACATTGATAACCGGCATTGTACAAGACGTTATGGTACTTTGTCTCTCTTAGTATTGGGATTCCAAAAGGTCACGTGACTCTCGCGGTATATATAGTCACTTGGGGGAAAAATAACAGGCCTTGTGCAATTATATTTTTATTTTTTTTACACGGTCAACGATTGTAATACGATGCAAGCCTTTCAACAACATATTTTTAAGGAGATGACAATACCTTAGCTTTTTTTTCCCAACTCAATTATTTTTTTGTAGATTAAAACTTTCCTTTGAAAGTGCGAGAACGCACATTTAACCTGTACAAATCCCTCCCGCCGCTGCTTATATATAGGTGTATAAACGTGACTTTTGTACAGGTTAAATGTGCGTTTTCGCACTTTCAAAGGAAAATTTTAAGTTGCAAAAAACTAATTAAGTTAGGAAAAAATAACTAAGGTATTGTCATCTCCTCAAAAATATGTTATGGAAAGGTTTTTATCGTATTACTATCGTTGACCGTGTAAAAAAAATAAAAATAGAATAGCATCCATAAAGCCTGTGTTATTTTTCCCTCAAGTGACTATATATACCGCGAGAGTCGCGTGACCTTTTGGAATCCTAATAGGAAATCGAAGTTGTGTTATTCGGCTTAAACACTTTTTCAGTGACAAGTTAGCGAAAAATTCTTGCTTAAATCCCATTCAGATATGTCCTTCTTAAGCGAAGATAGGCACGTACGGCCAGTCAGCTTGATATTCGGATCGGTAAAAACCACGTTTTGGCTGTTGGAGGTATTGACAACAACATCTGCTACAAGCTAATCTATCAGTAATTATTTAGAGACAAATTTTGGTCTCATACCGTTCAACTCTCTCTTTCTTAGGCAAAAATACTCACATGTTGCAAACTGGCTTAATATTAACTTATCCTTTTACTCAGAGATTAGAAGGGAGATTGCCAGCGCCTATGGTAGAGAATGTGTCGCTTTTTTTCCACTGATTTGAGCACCCCGTCGCGGCAGACCAGTCGAACTGTACGCACGTTTATAGCAGCGGAGGGAAAGATCAAACGTGCGTACGATAGGTACCTAGTAGAAGGGGAAGGAATATGTGCGTACACATGTGTATAACTATATACGTTTTGGCTGCCTCCTGCCTGAGCTCTCGAGTCGAGTCCCTCGGCTCTCGGCTATCGCTGCAGCTCTCGCATGCACGTATATACCTATATATGTTTCCGATGCGCTTTATTCCCTCAAAAAAGATTTTGTTATGAATGTTGGACAGTTAAGTATGTTATTATGTCCGGTAATAAATTACTCGTTAAATAGGTAAGTATTAAAAATATTTGTACAGCTAAATATCGCTTAATACTGAGTTTTTTCTCGTTTAAAGTGACAAATCGAGTAATGATTACGTGAGTCCCGATATTCAATGTAAGTTCTCGGAACTTCTCAATAAAATTATTATTTTTACAACTCGCATAATGTATGTTATTATAGGTACACTAAAAAAAAATTGCACATGATATATAAATACGACGTACCGTAACGTTGGAAATTATTAATTCTTTAATAAATATTTGCTTATTAAAATTTTTTCAATTAAATAAGAGCTCTTTGCTTTTATCTTAACGTTTATTTAGCAATAAAAGACTTTTCTAGAATTAAAATGTCGTTCTTCGATAGATGTAACATTTTCAATAAGAATAAGTATTTATTAAAATGTTCAGAAAAGTATTAGTTCTGCTTTAAAGTAGTTATATTTTAACTCAATTACCAATAGAGAAAAAAACTTCAACTCAAACCTTGGAGCTTCATTATAAACCTATGTCACTTTATGCACCCGTGAGACCAATGTGCTAGTAGTCGAGGCAGCTAAGTACTCTGCCATTCCTATCTACAATAATCACTCCCGGGTTCAAATCTCCGGTGGTGAAAATTTTGTTTTTTACATTTGGTTTTTTTTTTCCCTTTTATTTCGATATTACTTAGTGTAAAATTTTTTTAATAATTCTATTTTATTTTCATGTTTACGTTGCGTAACGAATACTCTTAGTTTATTCATTCGTGGGGGGATTTTTTAAAATTTAAAGTATTTTTTGTAACAATATAATGCTAATAACGAGGCACATGTTTATTAACATTTCATCCTCGTTCAGATGGCTATGCAACTATTATTGGTATATTTAAAAATTATTCAAATAACTCAAGTTATTTCACGCTGGATTGACAAAGTGCTATTATTAACACTTTAAAAGAGGATCACATCTTTTATAACCTAATTAACGTATTCGTTCAATAATATATAATTGGTCAATAATATTTTCCCCTTACGTACATATATTCATGAAAAGAAACAGAATCGTTTGCAACTGCGCAACGACAATTTTATTACCCAACCCCTTAAACATTTATGAATTAGCATAAAAACTTTAACTTTTAAAAAAATACCTTTTCCGCCCTCGGGTGGTTTTGGAAGGCTAGTACTTCCTCGGGCGAAAAAGCAGTTTTCCGGAACTCGTTCGAAAAGTCGTAGGAAAACTACCATTTATTCTTCGTTACTCCAACGTCAGCCAAGTTTTACTTTCACTTGAGCCTTGAAGCTTTGTTATTAACATATGTTACATTTAATCACTACGAGGACACAGTTTCGGTAGCCTAGTTGGTTACGCCGCTGAGCGAATTTTTTGCCTCGACAATCTTGGGGTTCCATTCCCACTCAAGGCATAACTTTTATTTTCTGTCGAAATTTTTTTTATCATACAAGTATGTAATTTTTTGGACTATAGTATTTATTTACGTTTCATATGTACGATCCGTAATAAATACTTACTTGTTTATCACATCTCTCATCAACTTACAAATATGCAAATGTTAAGTGTAAGATTTATTTTAGTATGGTATTTAATAGATGAAAATCATTTTTACTGAGCGATTTTTGTAACCAGCTAACGATATATTGCATTGCAAGACAAATGTCTTAAAATGTATACTCCTTAAGAATTAGTACAGCCGTTCCCGCCTAACGATACAGCTTTTGTTTTCGTCACAGGCGCGTCGAGGCGTTGTTGTTTTGATTGTCTCTACGCGAGGCAGCGCTTTTAGTACGCATCAAGCACGCGACATTCGTTGATACACGTCTGCTATTGATGCATCGTGTTTGCACACCGTAAATCTTTTACTGCTTTCAATAGTTTTGAACTAGTGTTGCGTGCAGTGAATACTTTTTAGTGTTGTTAGTTCATATAACAGCTAGCTTTTTCGCGTTTCTGTTCACTCGTTGGCATGTAAACAACGCAACGATGGCGAATGACAACGTATATTCACGGTGTCAATACATAAACTGTCATAATGGACCACACAACGGACACTCTTTGCGGCGATTTCCTGCAGATGAATTGAGACAAACCGAATGGACCACTAACTCAGGTATCTAAGTATCTAGTTACTTACTTTGCTTAAAATCTTGGAAGGTTTTTTTTTGTTTTCCACCGTACAATTATGATGAATAATTGTGTATTGGCATTTGAATACTATATTTTAGTATTGTGTGAATTTGAAACTGTATTATGTATAATTATTCTTTATAAGGCGTGACAACTTAATAAGTTTTTTTTGGGATTTACATAAAAATGATGAGCGTTGCCCATAAGCTGAAAAACTAAAGCTTGGCTGCTGCCTCTCCTCTTACCTCTCTCTCCACTACACAAATATATGGTCTAATCTGACCGCGAGCTCTATCCCTCTCACTCTCATAGCATATTATGCAAATACCTCTTTTTAATTTTTATTTCGTTATTTTTAGCGAGGCCGAAACAAAATAAAAGAC